GTCACTTTAATCTTAGCATCTAAAGAAGCAGACGATCTCTGAGTTCAAGATCAGCCTGGATTTTCTTAGTGAGTTCCAGGCAAGGCCACACAGTGAGGACCCCCTCTCCACCCCCCAAAAATTGACTTAAGTTTCTTGGGAAACTAGGAAGATACTTAAGTTATTTGTTTTATAGTGAGTTTGGATTGTTTTGTAAGAAATGTGTCCACGGGCTGGAGAGATGGCTCAGCGGTTAAGAGCACTGACTGTTCTTCCAGAGGTCCGGAGTTCAATTCCCAGCAACCACGTGGTAGCTCACAACCAACTTAAATGAGATCTGGTGCCCTCTGCTTGCCTGCAGGCAGAAAGTCTTCTATACAAAATAAATAAAAAAATGTTTCCACATTCTCTAAGTTGGATATAGAGTTCTCTCCATTCCTGTATTATCTTTCTAATACAGTTTTTTCTAGTGATTTTCCTCACCTTTTAAAGGGGGTTATTAATATATTTCTATTTTAACCCTTTCATTTTATCTTTATCTTTTTATGCTATTCTGTGGTTTGTTTTGTCTGTCTGTGCTGCATTGCTATAGGGTTGATTTTAATTTTTTCTTTCCTCTTTGTTGTGTTTTTTTTCTCACTTTACCAGTTGTGACGTTACATTTTTCCTTTTCATATTCTTTTGACACCTCTTGAAATTTTGATGAGTTCATCTAAAATTACTTTTGTTTTCTCTTGTGTATCATTTTAGACTGCTTACCAACCTGCTTGTTCATATGCTTACTGTTGCCTTTTCCGTTTGTCTGACCTAACACATGGAATTTTCTTTTCCTTTTTTAGAGTAAATATTTACTTAAGATAAACATTACTCTTCTCAGGTTTGTTATTTTCTTTGCTTATTGTTCTGTTCTTTGTTTTTGATGATGATCAAACATAGGACCTTGTGCTTGCTGTGTAAACACTCTACCAATGAGCTGTAGCAGCAGCCTAAGCATCTGACTGGTAATACTCATTTTATATTTATTTCAGTAGTGATGATAGCTTCTCTGATATGTTAAAACTTTTTTTCCCCTGTTGTGTTTTATATTTGTCATGCTTTGGAATGTTTCTTATGCATTCATTTTT